TCCACTGGCAATAACTTTATATGTGAAAGTATTTATTAATAAACCTTGCAAGCCCCAATTTTTCATACTTTGAGTAAATGCTTCTTACTAATGTTGTGAATTTTTTTAATTCTTGATTTTTCTAGGGATTATTTCACATTTCAGCTGCTTTTGTTTTCTACTGCTATCATTGAGGGTTCAAGAACAAAAAATAAGTCTTCAGGTAAAATGCCTGATCCATAATAGTGCTTGGTATTGTATTTTGCTGAAAAGATCATATACCTGTTTGGATGCTTGATCTGAAAATAGAGTTGTGATGATTATGAACTTTTCGCATGGAGTTCTCTTGGCTGCCTCTAACAAATTTGGTTTTGTTTGTTGTTTTCCTTTTTTCTTTGTTTTTTCCGAAAGGATTTTGGCTGTCTGCTTTTTTTCATGTGTCTCTATCTGCAATAACTATATGGGTATGTGCTTGTATTTGCTAAATATTATAATTTTGCATATTTGGCTGCTTGAATTTTAAGTAATTTCTTTGGGCAATGCAAATTAAGAGCTTGAGGCTACAAGTGAAATACCAATTTACAGTTTTTAATTAGTTTATAAATGTATGTTTCTTATCTACTATATATTTTAAGGTTTCATATTTCACTAAAATTAAATAAAATTTAAAATTTAGTTCCTCAGTTCCACTGGGCACATTTCAAGGGCTCCTTTTGGGCCATATGTGGCTTTTAGCTACCATTTTGGGCAGCACAGAGGAGAGACTTTTGTCGTTGTAGAGAGTTCTGTCGGACCAGCACTGTTTTCCTGTCTAGTAGAAGGAAGTTAGCAGCAATGTGTAAGCTCATCTGACCCCAGTGTTTATAACAGTTGAATAACTCCAGAAGAGGAAGCATATGACAAGTCTTGAGCTATTTTCTTTCAGTATGGTCACCATCTCCATCTTGAGTATTTCAAGTTTAAAATTGCCTAAAACAGTTCATTTGCTTCAGTAATCATGTTATTTCAAAGTGAAATTGTTTCTTGTAGCAAAATTCATGAAGTAGTAAAAAAGACCAAGTACTTAGCCTAAATTTGAATTCTGATCCCAGGGACTCAGTAGTTTAGAAACTTCTGGTAAGTTACTTAACTTCTTTGAGCCTCAGTTTGCTTATCTGTAAAGTGGAGGTAACATTGTTACCTATAAAATTAAAAAATATAAATGACTTAAATACATCTGAAAGCATGTAACAAAGTGGACATTCATAGTACTTCTAAATATAGAATGAAGCCAAACATTTAAATTAAGTAGGCAGTGTCATTTGACTGGAGCTGTTCCCAGCCTCAATTACAATAGTTCTCTAGACATGGCTAGGTAAGGAGTATACTGTAGAAGTTTCTGGTGGCCCAGGGATTACTTATGACATTATGTAAAGTTAAAATAACTGAAATACCAGAGTGGGGGGGAAAAGAAATAAAAAAAATGAATAACTGTTTTTGAAGTCCATAAAGTACTTTCTAATAATAATGATAATAAAAATTAGTATTTTGTATAATTTTGTAACAAAGTTTTTCACACAGTTCTTTAAAATTTCATGTCCATAATATTTGAGTGCTTTTATTATACTTATATTAAAGAAGAGTAAAAAGGAAACTCAAGGTTGACCAACTTTTGGGGGTTGCCTAGCTAACCAGTAGTGAGAATGGAAATTTATATTACATTTTCAGCTTTAAATCTTATGCTCTTTCTATTTTAATATGCTGCTCCCTTGATAGTAGTTATATTTCTCAGGCAGGTGTATATTTCAGAATCTCTAGGGATGGGTCCAGGGATAATGTAATTTTTTTTCCTATGCTGAGACAAAATACATACCCAAGTGATTCTGGTGCCCACCTCTGGTTAAAAATCATTGCTCTCTTCCAGGTTTAATTTTTCTTTTCCCATTTCAGTATATCTAATTTTTGTTTTTTTAAAATATATCTTTATTGATTTCAGAGAGAGGAAAGGAGAGGGAGAGAGAGAGTTAGAAACATCAATGATGAGAGAGTCATTGATCAAACCCACAACCCGGGCCTGTGCCCTGACTGGGAATCGAACACCGATCGCCTGGATCCTAGGTCGATGTTCAACCGCTGAGCCATGCCCTGCTGGGCTCAGTATATCTAACTTAATGCATAGTCCATGTAAATAAGGCAAAGAATGAGACTGATAAGTGACACACTGATTTAACTTTTACTGTTCCAGATATTTAGGTAGCTCATCAGCAGTACTTTTGAAAAGGCAACACAGTTTAGTTTCCTGTTCACAACCTTGAGCGTCTTTCTGTTTGATCAGTGCTGGTGGCAAGGGGGAATCCAGACTAGCCAGATCTGTTGGTGTTCCCCTTTCTGCTTCCCTGAGATCGTTTTGGCCAGTTAGTAGTCTGCTCTCACTGTATCCAGGTGCTAAAGCATTGACCCCTTATCCCTGTGGGTAATATCTTCATGAATGTTTTCAGTTGATTGGCTGAAGGTTTTTAATCATCTTTCCTCAGTTGTCTTGAAGATGCTTCAGTGTCCTGGATTTAGTGGTATTTCCAGGCCATTTTTAACGTGGAATGTATCACATTACTAAGCTCAAAACAATGAAAAGATGGTGTCATGATGGGGGTGGGAGAGGTGAATACTCTAGCAAACCCCCAGGTAGACAACAGCCAGTCACACTGCATAGTGAATTTTCAAATATGACAAATATTTTCAAAAATACAAAAACAAATTCTACTGGAAATAAGACTTTCAAATTTAAAAATTAAGCATTTGCTGTTTGAGGCAGTAACTGTGAGGTTTTGCAGTGAGAGCGAACTCTTTTAACTCAGAAATGCTTGTCAGAATGCAGTTGAGCAGAGGCAGTATGTTAACATTGGCTGAGCAGAGATCATTTCTAGAAGCTATTTACAGTGGGTATCAGGCCACTTCCATGTTGGAATTCAAGTGTTGGGGTGCTCTTGTATGCAGGGGTGCCTTTCAGCATCGGAAATCCAGTTCTGACCCTTTTTCATTAAGACTGAGAGCCTGTAAGACTGACTGACGTAGACACGACAATTCTGCACTTAACTAAGATGTTTCGAAACTTAATACCTGCAAAGCATAACATTACTTTTTTCTTCTCCAAAATACATTGTTAAGATAGCTATCGCTCTGTTAATTATACGCAGGTTAGATTTATCTTTGTTGTACTATAAGTAAATTTTCTTATAAACAGGATAAAAACAAGGCCTTTTAAGATTTTAAAGTTTTTCCAACCCAAAGATTTTTTAAAACTTATTGCAGTTAAAAAAAAGAGACTTGCTAGTCATAGATCAACTTGAAAGTATTGTAAGGCAGTTATTTTTCCGTGAATGATGCACTGAGTGGATTTCTACTTATTTTCATTTGGTGTTGAGAATCTGTTAGATAGTCTTATATGGCAAAAGTGTGGTAATACTTTTTCTTTTTTTAAAAAAAAAAGGCGGTCCATCTCATTTTCTTAATTTATGATATGTGAGATTTTATGGTTCATTTAGACTTAAATCTAGATGCCTTGTTAATATATTCCAAACATAGAAAATGTGATTCCCTATTTCATCAATTCTAAGACATGCTGCTTCTTTATACTTTGAAAAATGAGATGTGTCTTAAAATTGATTTGTATCCTAGTTCCATGGAGGCATTTTTTCCCTTACTTGGTGGTTTATAATACTAATGGATAGTCATTGATGTCTTAGGCTTGATAAAAAGTGATTTTTGATTTTTTTTGAAGTTTATGATGTATATCTTTTTGGTACAAAAAATCTGAGTGGTGAGAAATATTTTATTATTTGGAATTACAGACTTTTAGTGTTTCCTTTAGATCCCTTTCTTTTTGTTCTCACTACTATCATCCTAGTGTCAAATCTAAAGCCGTTTAGCTATGAGTTCAGTGTTCTTTATTCAGAAACCAGTCCAGGGATTGGGGGTATATGTTGCCTAACTTGGGGCAGGAGCACATTTTACAGTGTTAGAAGACGATAGACAAGAAAGGGCATGACTGGCCAGGAGGTGGGCCCTGGGCAGGTCCTGTTTCTAGGGTAAGGTCAGCTGGCTGGAACTGAGTTGGAGGACTGATTGGTGTTAGGTTTCCTTGACAGTGAGGTGCTCCCCACAGTGCAGGATGATTTAGGGTTAGATTTGTGACATGGGTGGGGCCACTAGGGTGGCCTCCATTTTGTGAGTCTCTATATTCCAATTAACTTGATCACTAGTTAGGTAGCTGCTTTACATTAAACTGGTTCCCTATCCGTGGAAAGCTGTCCAGAATAAAAAACAAAAAACAAGAATGGAGATTGAGAGAAGGAGATGAAACTTGGGGCTGGGGTGGGGTGGAGTCAGGGTAGAGGGTGGGCAAAGAAAAAGGGGGGAAGAAAGAAGAAATACGGGAAGGACACTTAGGGGTGTTAATAAGCAGCATTTTCCATTGACTCTGCTTTACTTATTTGGAAATCTTTTTCTTATTAAGTGTCTTGATTGTGACATGTTAGCTTGTGAGCTACTCAGTGGGTAGCTGAAGTCACCTCAGCCGTATTCCCCAGATTCCAGAAGCATAAACCCTTCTTGCCAAGGCCTTTCCTTTGCTGCGGAAGTTTCCCTGGTAGCCCCTCCAGCCTACGGGTAAATCATCTGCTGCTGCTTTCTCTGTTGGAGACCTAATGGAGTCTGTTTCCTCGTAATGCGCGGGCTCAGAATAAATAACTAAAAGGGGAATGCTAACGGAATGTAGTTTTCTACAAGAAGTCTTAAGTTATGTATACAATTAAATTTGTTGGTTTTTATAGTACAAATACTTAATTTTTGGAATCTTCCTTACCTTACTCTGTCTTGCAGCATTTAGGTACCAATTGGTGCAGTCTTTCCCCTTTATTTCAAATATGGGTGCTGAGTTTTATATATTTCTAATAAAATATGCCAGTCACCACTCTTTATCAGTTAGCATTCACATAGTTCTTCTTTCTATTGTATTGTCCTGAATTCGTTTTCTCTTTCCTCAGAGGATGTCCTGAGTAAAGATGCTGGGGAATGTGCAATATGCCTGGAAGACTTGCAGCAGGGAGACACTATAGCACGGCTGCCTTGTCTATGCATCTATCATAAAGGGTGAGTCTGTTTGCATGTGAACCAGGTTGATGTTAGAAAAAGATCTTCCTCAGAGTTTCAAGCATTATAGTTAGGGCAGAAAAGGTTTCTTCATTGAAACTCCTTCCCTTCATTTCTTAAAAAATGATGTTCTTTTTTTCCTGTTAGAACTAAGATTTAAGCCCATATCTGTCTATATCCAAAAATCTATCATTTATTCAGCATTTACTGTGACCCACGTATTGTTCAGAGCTTCTTAACTAGGAACCATACAAATATAAGTTGGGTATACTTGTCAGACAACTCTGGAATAGCTCTATTCTGTACGTATCCTATCCTGTAACTCAACAGTTCTACTCCTAGGAATATGCCCTGGGGAATTCTTGATTTTGTGCTCTCAGACAGTGCTAGTCCTCAGTGTGCAAGTCCAGGGTAAGAAGGAGCTTGTGCCAGAGCGTAAATCAATATAATGGTGTCTTCACTGAGAAAGCCCCACAATGTGGTTTTTTTTTTTAAGTTCGTTAAAACCATATGTTTAGTGGCAAAATTAATGTATATTTTGGCTCAAGCCCCTTATCTCATTGAGGGACTGGTAACAAACAGCTCGCAGATTAGCACTGTGTGTTTGGACCATGCTTTGGACAACACTGCCCTAAGAGACATGTAAGAGTGTTCATAGCATCATTGAAAGTGTCCGTCAGTAAAAGAATGGATACATAAATTGCAATATGCTTATCTTGTGGAGTACTATACACAATGAAAATGTAAAGGCCTGAGTCTTACTTATTAACAATTGTAAATCTCAAACAAATAGATTTTAAAAAGCAGTTAGAAGAAACATACTTTATGGTAGCATTTATATAAAATTAAAAATATGCAAACAGAACTATATGTTGTTTTGAAATATGCACATACATAGAGTAAGAAAATGCCTAAGAATAAAAAGCACCAAATTCAGGATAGTAATTTCCTGCTGATATTAGAGGAAGCGAATATAATATTTAAATAATGGGTTGATAGCAGTTTATGTGAGAAGAACCTGGGGTTTTAAGTGATTATTTTCTCAAGATGAGGCAAAATTACATGGTTGTACAATAAGCACCCATTTTAGGTCATGTAGGTGCTGTTCAGATGTTCTGTGAACATCTCTGGGATGTTTTGTTCAGTTCTCAGTACTTTGTTTCGAGAGGTATTCTGGTAGACCAGGGGACCTAGGAACCTCGTGAGTAGGATAGAGAGAGGCTGAAACAATGTCATAGCCCAATTGGGCGTGTTTGTTTAGACAACAAAAGTCTTAATAGCCACAGAAAGTGTTTTAGATACTTGAAAGAATACCATGTGGCTGAGATACTTATTTTTCCCTTTTAGTTTTGTCCATCATTTTTACCTACCATCCCATCCTGTTGGCACATGAGAAAGATAAATATTAATTTTTCCCTTCTACATATTAGCCACACCATCTTGCTTTATGACATGTGCAAACTTGACATGTCAACAATGAGAATGTTAAACACTTTGAATCCTGCTTGGGCAACTTCCTAGCTGTTGGGCAAGTTACTTAACCTTTTCAGGGCATTGTGTTTATCATTTGCCACGGTGAAACAGAACTTTCTGCAGTGATGGAAATGTTCTGTATCTGGACTGTCTAGTAGAGTTAGCCACCAGCCGTATGGCTGTTGAGCACTTGAAATGTGGCTTGTGTGACTGAGGGACTGCATTTTTCCTTCATTTAATGTTAATGATTTTAAGTTTAAACAGCCACACATGGTACATGGCTACTGCATTAAACAGTGCAGTATATCTACATGAAGATAATTGTGTGCACCCTAATATTTAACTTCAAGTAAAATCATAAAATACTTGATAAATGTGAGTGGATGATGATATACTTATTTGTGTATGTATATGTACTGCAGGATGGAATAGAATTAAAATAAGTATTTAATATTCGCATATAAATATGGTCTTTAAAAATGTGATGCAGTATTGTCAAGAATTAAAATTTAAAAGCAGTTTTTGATTACATTCATAGGCGATATGAACAGGTTGATATTTGCATAAATGAGGAAGTATTTTGAAGAAAGATGAGCTTTCCAGATTTGTTACTTAATTTTGAATATTGGTAAAGTGGTAGTTCTTTAGATTCTTTTTTTATAATGATTGTTGCTTAAACTTTAAAGTATTTTATAGCATAATTTTACAAAGATTATTTCCATAACTGCTTAGAATAAGCAAACTGTAATAAACACACCTTTGTCTCTTACTGACGTGTATATGCCAAATACGGTCACTTAAAGTATTTAACTTTTCTTTTCCAAAGATATAGTAAAGTCAAGAAGTAAGTGTTTTTATTATGGCGGTCATGGTATTAATAATTAAACATAAGTTTCACTTTTTCTGGCTTTATTTTTTTCTAGCTGCATAGATGAATGGTTTGAAGTAAATAGATCTTGCCCTGAGCACCCTTCAGATTAAGTATCTGCTTCCTGTTTTATAGGTAATTCTCCATTTTTCTGTTTTAATTGCTTTTTAAAGTGTTATCTGAATTATATACATTCTCAACCACTTTCTTTACTTATCCATGAGAAGCTACTCCTCATCTCTTCAAGTGTTGCCATGAAATTGCCTCAAGTCAGTCACATCCTCAGGCTCCACTTCTGATTCTGGTTCTTTTGCTGTTCCACCACATCTGCAGTTACTTCCTCCACTGAAGTCTAGATCATCCCTCAAAGTCACCTACAAGGGTTGGAATCAACTCCTTAACTCCTATTAATGTTGATATTTTGCCTTCTTCCCATGAGTAACTGATGTTTTTAATGGCATCTCTAATGGTAAATCCTTTCCAGAAGGTCTTCAGGGGAATGACTGTCTATAGCAAATACAGCCTTGTGGAATAAATTTCTTGAATAAGATTTGAAAGTCAAAATTAGTCCAACATCCAATGCAGAATGGATGTTGTGTTAGCAGGCAGGAAAACAACATTAATCTCATTGTGCATCTCCATCAGAGCTCTTGGATGACCAAGTACATTGCCAGTGAGCAGTAATATTTTGAAAGGAATCTTTTTTCTGAGCAGTAGGTTTCAACAATGGACTTAAAATATTCAGTAACTGTGTTGTAAACAGATGTGCTGTCCTCCGGGTTTTGTTTTCCTATTTATAGAGCACAGGCAGACTAGATTTAGCACTAGTTCTTAAGTGCATAATTCTGAAAATTCTAGAATTTTCAGGATGGTAAATAAGTATTGGCTTCTACTTAAAGTCACCAGCTGCATTAGCCCCTCACAAGAGAGTCAGCCTGTCCTTTGAAGCTTCAAAGCCAGACATTGACTTCTCTCCAGTGATGAAAGTCCTAGATGGCATCTATAAGGCTTTCTTCTACTTTGAAAGTCTGTTGTTGCGTGTGGCCACCTTCGTTCATTATCTGAACCTGACCTTCTTGATGACTTGCTGCAGCTTCTGCATCAGCACTTGCTGCTTCACCTTACCCTTATGTGTTATGGAGATGGATTCTTTCCTTAAACCTCATGAACCAATCTCTTCTAGCTTCAAACTTATCTTCTGCGGCTTCCTCACCTCTCTTAGTCTCCATAGAATTGAAGAGAGTTAGGGCCTTGCTCTGGATTAGATTTTGGCTTAGGGGAATGTGGCTGGTTTGCCTTCTCTCCAGACCAATAGAACTTTGCCCATATCAGCAGTAAGGCTGTCTTGCTTCCTTACTCGTGCATTTACTGGAGTAGCACTTTTTTTAAAAATATGTTTTTATTGATTTTAGAGAGAGAGGAAGGGAGAGGAGGAGATAGAAACATCTATGAGAGAGAAACATCAATTAACTCTTGCATGCCCCCTGCCGGAGATTGAGCCCAAATCCTGGGCCTTTGCCTTGACTGGGAATTGAATTGGTGACCTCTTGGTGCATGGGACAATGCTCAATCCACTGAGCCACACCAGCCAGGAGAGTAGCACTTTTAATTTCCTTCAAGAACTTGTCCTTTGCATTCACTACTTGACTAACTGGTGCAAGAGCCTAGCTTCAGCCTATCTCAGCTTTCAGCATGCCTTCCTCACTAAGCTTACTTATTTCTAGCTTTTCATTTAAAGTGAGAGATGTATGACTCTTTCTTCCACTGGAACACTTAGAGGCCATTGGAGGGTTATTAATAGGCCAAATTTAAATATTGTGTCTCGGGGAATAGGGAGGCCGGAGGAGAAGGGAGAGAGACTGGGGAACTGGCAGTTGCTGGAGCTATCAGAACACACACAACCAACATCTATCGATTAAGTTTGTCTTACATGAGCGTGGTTTATATGAGACAATTACAATAGTAATATTAAAGATCACAGATCTCCGTAAGAAATGGAATAATAATGACAGAATTTGAATATTAGTACAGTCTTAATTTGGAGGGGACATACAGCTGTTACGTGGGGATGATTTTTTAAGCTTTAGCTGGCCCTCTGCATCCTTGATCTGTTCTTTTGCGGATCACTACTTGCACGAGTTTTTAGAATAGTAAGTGTGTGAAAATTTACAGTAACTAGAGCGGTGTTTATGGGGAAGTGAATGTTGTGTTTTAATTCATATTACTATTGCGGACCTCTGCTTAAACCAAAATGTATCTACTTTTACGCAGGTTTTCTTCTCAAGATGCTTGAAAAACCAAGAGGACTTGAGGACCTTTCTCTGGAAAAATGAAAACAAAAAACGCAGGCATACTCAGCCAAAAATCTGAGTTCTGTGGGACTCAGTTGATGCAGAGATGGACAATCATATAGGGAAAAAAATCCTGCTGGAGGGAGGACATTTGCCACAGAACTCAGTGTACCAAACATGATATAAGGACTCACAGGGATTTTGAAAATGCTGCACATCCCTAATAGTCATCTACATAGGTAATGCTGATAAACATTTTGTATTCAGACGCCAAAGTTAACTGATTTAAAAGTTGATTTACTTTTTATTAAGTTCTCTAGAGCTGCACAACTAGTGTTTTGATTTGTTGTGTTTTTTAGTTTGGGGTCTCTTCATTTTCCCCAACATGATGTTCTGCATTCGTCTAGTTTTAAATTGAAGACCACATAATTCTCTTCCTATAAATTAAAGTCTTAAATGTGAAACCAAGAAATGTAATCAAGCAGTGAAACATTCTCTGAATGTAGACCATGATCTCAACTACTATTATTTTTTCTCCCAAGAGAGTGGAGAATAGACTTCTACATAGGAAAGCTGAAATACGTTAACATGTTAAATTAAAATTTAATATTATCAGAATGCAGTCCAAAGAGTAAATCAGGTTACATAATTACATTTTAATGAATTAAATATCGGATTGTCTACTGAATTGCAATTTCTTAAGTATATTGTTTCCTCTGAAATAAAACTGCTCCACAGCTAATCAGCAGTGAATCATCTTGCAGCTATGCAATTTCAAAAAAATACAAATTACCAGTTTTAAGTGCTGCCAGCTACAGTAACTTTGTTTTAACGGGTATTTTTGTTTGTTCTTTTCATGTAATTATTTTATTGTGCTTTGCATCTCCAGGCAGTTTTCCCACTTTTGGGTAAAATGCTTTAGCAGGTTGTAAGCTTAATAACTTATGAAAAGAGTAAAATAAAATTTTCTTGAGTGGAACCTGGAATAATTTGAGGGACTTTTATATACTTTTAAAAATCAGAATTCAATTAGGATGCCAGATTTATAGCAATTTGCATCTTTAATTTTCCAGATAACCTGGAAGTTAGTGTTTGATAAATGATTTTTTAAAGCAAATATGAAGATTTTGTTAATTTATAATTTATTAATGTGTTATTACTGTAATTGAAAATGTTATAGAACTTTTAAATTCAGTCTGTGTAGAAAGAAATGTATTAAGCAAAATTATATGAATAAATATTCCCACAAAATACATCTGAATGGTTAAAAAATACTGGAAGCCTATTAGGGCTACAATATGAAATGTCCTCCCTTTTTTTAAATATTGGAAATACCAGTAGATAGATTCCCATTTTCGACATGGGGAAAATGTTCCCGGTGAGCTGGAGCAGCGCACGGTGCCTGGCTGTTGAAAGTGGCGCAGCACTGTTCCCTTGTCTTAGCCTCTCGTGTGTGTACACGTTTGCTTTCTGTTGAATGCTGCTCCTCTTTATTTGCCTCAGTTTTTTTCTCTACCCTGTTGCTTCTCTTCCTTTTTTTCTTTTGTTTCTTTTTTTTAAGGGCATGTACAGGAGCAGCTTCTGCTACCCGGAAAAATTGGTATATTTTAAACAATTGAAAGAGTTTTAATTGCTCTCTGTGTGATTCTAGACCGAAAAACATTTTCCCCTAAGTTATGCTATGAAATGCCTTTTGTTATGCTGCATTTGATAAAAGAACCCCAAACCTCCAGTGTGACAGCTGACACCACAGTTTTCATAGGTGCTTTTTTAACCAGTTTTAGAAAATATTTTTCCTTCAAGGAAAATATTCTTTCCTTAAATTTTTTCTGTTATCATGAAGTCTTAATATGAATCCATTTTATTTCACATTTTCAATTTTGTAAGCTCTCACACATACACATACACACACAAACACACCCACTGCAGGAAAAACCTCTTAGAATGTGAATAATTCATTTTTTCTACTACTAGTATAATGTTATTTTGTCGACTTTCATTCTTAAAGGAAAGATTTACTCTGGCTGTGGTAGTTCACTGGAAGTTGGTTTCTGATACGATTTACTCGTTGACTTTTAGAATGTATCGCATAGGTTCACATCTCCGTTGTATCCTGGACCACATGTCAGCCTTGCTCTGTTTGTGGAGTCAAGTTCGGTGCTGCAGCTGCTGCAGGAGAAGCTCCTGTGCTTTAGAGGAAGCTCAGCGTCAGTGTCGAGTGCAACCTGATCGTTACATTTGTCTAAAACAGTATTTAGTTAATTTGTTTATAGCAGTCCCTTTTTTATTAAAATTTACAGAAGTTACATCTTTTACTTTAAAGTCATTTTCCATCATCAATGACTTCATAAAAAGAGCTGAGAAACTGAAAATGTTTTAAAAGCCCAGCTGCTCCAGTTTTTATTCAAAGTCACTATTCTGAAAAGTGTTATAAGTAATACTGTAAGTGATATCACGTATATTTGTAAACTTATATGCAGACACTGAATAGTGTAAGTAGGACATAAATTCGTGTTAGATATTTAAATATGTACTTGAAAGTACTCTCAGTTGAATATTAATGGAGGCAAAATAAAGATTGAAAGCCTAGGTCATCAAGTTGTTATAGTTTTCCAGAATCTTTGTAAATAATTGTTTTCAAATAAGATCACACTTGCGAATATAGAAAGCAGTATGTTCTGAAACTTACTTTGGTGCCACTCTTTTCTTCATAACGGATTTATTGCCAATTTTGGCTCTTTGTCTTACTTAGATCTGGCTCCCCCCCTCCCCCCCCCAACAATGTGTAGGAGATAGCAAAATTATTGTCTTACTTTTGGGCCTTTGCCAGAGATATAGACTAAGTAAGTAAGCATGTTAATCTGTGTTTTTGAGATCTGGTTATAAATCAGATATAGATGGTGTTTTAAGAGCAGTGTTTATGATTGAAATATAAACAATGGTTCCTATAACTGATTTTTTTGTGGTAGACGAAACAGCATTTAAAAACTCATATGTTATTGACTGTTGCATACTATATAGGTTCTCTATTTCTTTACTATGTTATACAACTATTTCAGTTTTCACCCACTAAACATTAATAGAATTTAGCCCCATAGTGGCTGAGGGGCACCCTCAGCATATTTACAGTATGTATTCCCAAAAGATTCAGTTTAAATGAGTTAATGAAAACGGCAGATTCCATTTCAAAGCTTTTTTACTTTCTAAAGTTGTGTATAGTAATGTGTAAAAGCAATCATTTAAATTAACATAATTATAACAAGATGTAGGGATCTTCCTTTAAATGAAAAAGATTGTAAATTCAATGTAAATATTACCTAATTTTTTTTTTTTTACTAACTTGGAGAGTGGAAGAAGGGAAATTTCCTGACAATAAGCTAAATTTGAATAGAGCATGAGCCTTTTAAAACTCAAGAATAATTGAATTTACCATCTGGTGACATCCACACTATGTATTAGTGATAATATTGAAGTCATCTTACTCTTTTGCAGAGGAAGTCTCCATGTAAATTCGGTTATTGGGAACTTTGCAAAACTACGTAGAGGTAAATGTTGCTTATTAAATATGAATACTGTTTGTTAGTTACAGGAAGTCTTCTAGTTCATTTGGGCTTTTTTTCTTGCAATTTGATTTATCCTGAGGTGAGCTCGGTGCATATTGACAGTGGGTGGTGAAATGTGAAGTGTCCCTTGTTCTTGTACAGATATTCTCTAAGTTAAAAAAAAAAAAATTCTGGCATGCTAGTCTTTTGTCCTTGGCCTGTCCCCTTTTTTGCTGAGGTCTGTAACTTCAAATGTTTTCTTTGCTGTATCGTGAATAATAGTAGTCAATGATCTGTTTCACTGACTACTTTTCATCTCTACTGGTGCCTTTCCATCTGAAACTAAATTGCCACTTGGTTTTCTTTAGAGGAAGTGGCTGCTTGGTGTCTTCCTAGTAGTGATTTTTATTCAGGAAAAGCTGGTGAAACTCTTTTGTAATGCTTTGCCCAGACAATACTTTTTGAGTACCTGCCGTATTCTGTGAATGCTGTGCTTAAGGTAGGGAACTGAATGTTCGTTCTTTTTAAATCGCAGAATTCCTGTGTTCAGTGGGGAATAGAATACCTGGTCTTTTAAGTCAGGTGATTCTCTGGAAAGTAAAAGGCATTGAAGAAAACCAGATATGTTAATATTGATGAAAATGCAGCATTAGTATACTTAAGGGAGTTGGTATATTTGGTATATTTTCAGATATTTAAACCATCATTAGTTTAGACCAGTGGCTAATAATAAGATAGACTGTTGGTTGCTTGTTTATAGAGAGGCAAAGAGCAACGTGGCCTAAACTCACAGCCTAGAAAATACATGAAAAATTTTAAAGTGGTATTGTACTCTGTATTAACCAACATTGTCCTCCTTAGCTCTGCCCTGGACTGTGGGGCACCTGTCAGGACCCCAACTCTTAGAGCCAGAGTGACTGGCTCCTTCGATTACTCGTGCCTGCTCTTTTGATTGGATATGCTGAGATCGATGGGTACTGATGATCTATGCTTGTAAACTTATATTTCTGCGTCACCCTGTTACCATTGAACCTGCGTTGTGAAAAGGTTTCATTATTAGTCAGTAGCATTTTGAGCACCTGGGTGCATGTGACACAGCAGGCTGTATGGGGAGATACAGAAGAGACTGGGGGATTTTTTGGTGATATCAATCTTTGTTATTACAGCAGTCCATTACATTTTATTTCTCTGCAATGACTATATGAGTTTCATTGTTTGAAAATCAAGGTAATAATAGATATTTACCTCTGTTGCTTTGTTCGTGGTTTCCACAACTCTTCTGTAATACCTTAGTTTCCTCCATTAGAAAGTATTTTTCTGTTAAATATGGTATCAAAAGCATCAATCTCAAGAAATATAGAAAATGTATTCGGAACAACTTGTATGTTCTTAACTACAGTGGAGCAATTCATTATTGATATTTTTAATAAATAAAGCTTCCAAATGATCTTGCCAAATTACCCTGTTATTTAGAAGCAGAATGTAAGAGAATGCTTTCAAGGAAATGCGTCATTTCTACCCTTATGTCTAGAAGTTGACGGCACATTACAATAAAACAGAATTACCTGAATGCTGAAAGGTTACCATGAATTAACTGATGTCGCAGTTTCTTTATCTGTTTTTGTACAGTCTTTATCACAAAATTGAATCCAAACTATTAGAATTTTGTAATTGCTTAAGAAATGACCGTGGCAGTGGTGGATTAAAAGCTCTTTCTTCAGTACCTTCACCATGTGTAGAGATATACTTTGAAATTTCTAATGTAAAACCTGTGTGTGAATTTTGTACTTGCAGTACGATGGAGAACTATTAAGTTTTGCAGAGAGATCGTCTGTCAGTACATCGTCATAACTTTTAAAATTTAGATTGTATTTAGTGACGTTCTGTTAGGTTTTAAGAAGTGAAGTGAGTAGTTGATCTTTGGAAGCACAGTCTCCAGGCTGTAAGAAGTATTGAGTTTGTAGCCCAGTGGTTAAGAACATGGTTCTGTCTGAAACCAGCCTGCCTGGTTTTGCCACCTCTGTGACATTAGGCAAGATACTTAACTTCGCTGCACCTCGCCTTTGCCTACCTCAAGGTGGTTGTGAGGATTAAATGGGAGGGAACATGCATGCACCACACACATAGTGAGTACCTAATAATGCTAGTGGTTATTATAAACAATAAAAATGTTTGTGCCCATACGAATGAATACTTTTTTTGTTTTTCCCTCCAGTCATGAGGTGTAGGAGCAATGCCTTAGACCTGAACAGATGTGTTAAGGAAGCTAAGTATAAGAGAGGACGTTGGGAGTCCTGATCTTCCCTCTTGCCAAAATCAAGAGATTTACTATTTTGGCAGTTATGTATTAAGCACTACGTGGTTCTGTGGACTGTTAGGGACCAAGAGTATTGAAATCAAAGATAGGTGACCGTTAGTGAGTGAAGCAAGTAAGTAAACAAGCATGTAAGAAAGTATAATAAATGCTGTGGTAGACGTATGCACGGGTGTTGTGAGGGGGTAAGGAGGTCATTGAACTCAGGCTTGGCGAGGGAACAATTAAACTAAGCCTTTAAGAGCGAGTAGATCATGGCTCTAGGGAATGTGGACTTGTGGAGTGGGAAGTTTGGAAGGGCATCCCCAAGGCAGGAAGCATACCTCAGATGAACATGACACTCTTGGGGAGTTGCTGTATCTAGAGAGGTAAGCAGGTGACAAATCCTGAAGGGAAGTATGTGCCAAACTATGACGGAAGGATTTTAAGCAGGAAAAAGATTTGTCCTTAACAGTAGACAGGCAGAGATGCCTCTTAGAAAATTTATAGTAGTTCAGGCAACATGCTGAGGGGCAAAGCTGAAGCAGTGACAACAGGGAAAGCAAGGATGGGAGGACTTAAAGTTTAGGGTAGAATTAATTCATCTTGGTGTAGTCATTTAGGTATAAGGGAGAACCTGAGATAAAGAACCCCAGTTCTGACACGAAGGATTGGATTCTAAATGGGAGGCGGAGCCTTGAGAGAAGCCAGACAGGAATACTGGGCAAGTGTGAGAGAGCAAGAGCGTGCATGTCTGTGTGCGTGTGTGTGTGTGCTCCTAGGGCCCAGGAGGTACACTGTTAGAGGAGTCAGTAGGTGCATGGTAAGTACACTGAGCGAGTATAATGTCTAGGTCAGATGAGTTGGACCTTTCCCAGCACCCCCACCCTCCCCCCTTAACCTCAGGTGCTGGGCGGAGTAGGGCCGTGCTTCCCAGGTTTGCTAGGTGCACTCTGACACATTCCCGGGGTTTTCTCTTTGGTCATTGGTTGCGTATCTTCCATCCTACCTGTGTTCTCAGACGTCCACAGCAGAAGAAAGCGACTGGTGGGAAGCAGAGTCTTCGTGGAAGTGGAGAGACAGGAAGGATGCATCCTGCTGTCCTGATGGATGCTGCTGTCTGGGTGGGTGGGTCAGGCTGGGCGAAAAGAGGGCCAGAAAAGGTCTATCCGTTCCTGGGAGACTGGGTTGCCATTGGCTGCAGCATGATCTTTGTTGGCAAAGGACAGAAAATGAGGACTGGAACGCTTGTCCTGGAGACATCCTTATCTTAGATTAGGTCACGGAGTCGCTTCTCCCACAGGTTGCCTCACCGAATACAACGTATCCGTGGGCACACCAGTTCAGGCTTTCACAGGCTCCTCCATTGGTTCAGAGGGGCTCCTGTGGAAACTTAGAATTTCATAGACCAGCAACTCCTGCCGAGCAAGGCCTGTGAGAATAATAGGAACCGAACACCAGAAAGAGAATTGTCCTAAAATATTTTTAAATCCCTTATAGTTATAAATATGCGTGATTTAAGATTTGATTTCCCACCAAAATACAGTAAAAACTGTTCTGTAGTACCTAATGACGCTGTAATTAATTATAATACAGAGTTGTTAAATTCTGCCACGTGGTGCCTTACTGCTAGGGCTCTTTTCCATGAACAATATTCATTATTTTGTGAGGTTTTAAAAATACATCTTCCCAACAAAGTCATTTTGAGACTTCAGTGCTTTCTGATTGGCTTGATCTTGTAGCAGCTGGGTAACTGGAAGGAAACTGTACAGTGTCTGCAATGTAAATTTATATTTCAGAAAAATACTGAATAATCGTATGTCACAAACCTTTCACAGTAGCTCGTTAATCGAAATGTTGTTAAATCTGTAAGTGTTAAGAGTATTCATTATACACACAGGATAATCCAAAGAAGCACATGGTGTACAGTTCATCCATTGCTGGGACTCAAACACTGCAAAGACTGCAGGCTGCCTTAGGGTGTTTAACTATCCAAACTATTATCATTTTAGCATGTAATCAGGATAAAAAGCATCAATGAGATATTTCACACTTTTTTTTTGCAGTCTTGGAAACTCGGTGTAGTCTATGTTTATGGCACATTTGTATTCAGAACTGGCCACTTTTTAAGTGCTCAAGAGCCATAGGTGACCAGTGGCTACTGTATTGGACACAGCTCCTGGCTATCCTTACCTGAATATGTTCGAAGGTCTTATAATTCCACCTTTGTGAAAACCTCTGTCTCTCAAAGTTAATTTAGCTACTGTGCATGAGCAGAGCTGGTCCTGTGTTACTAAATTGATGCAGTTTCCTAATTTTTTCAATGAAAGGCTGAAAATATCTTGAAAAGGTTGATAGTCTAATGAACCCTCTCCGTGTGCTTTCACAGATGTCACTCACTGGCTTGTGTCCTGTTTGCAGTTTTTGGTAAGAACACACAGGCTCTGAATAGCCGGTCAGTTAGGAGATGGTGTGCTCATGAAGTTTCAGCCAGTCCACCAACAGGAATTTAAGCAGTGCTGATGAATAGTTCTCTTCTGGGTTGTCCGAGGATTGAGCTCTGTGGGGCAGCTTCATGAGTGTCGGGCCTTCTAGCAATCCTTGACTTTTTACCATAGTCATGCTTAAAACGGCTGAGCTTGTCCACTAGACCCTCACAAATCCAGGCTTCAAATCCAGCTCAAGAGTCACCAGGAGTCTGGTCTCAGCTATGTCCAGTGAGATGCTCCCTGGTTTGTGGGAATTCCGTGCTCAGGTGCCCTGTTGAGTCGGAGTGGGACTGCCAGGGAGTTTTTCTGCCAGGCTGGGCTGTACCATGGGAAGACAGGTCTTAACACGCTTCTGCATGGGGAGCCTCAGAAGCCAAACATTCGCAGCACTTGGCTAAAATGCTTCCTACCAACTCAGCAGGTAGGAAGGGATGGGCAGAGGCAGCTTTTTAAAGATATTAAGGCCTTGTCACCACCCCAGAGATTCTACATTAATTGTTCTGGTGTGATCCTGTTCTGTGGCCAGTTGTACAACCTTTATCTGGGTTTTATCACACCTGCAGATAGGGTGCCAGCTCTTGAGGAGAGAGTTGCCTGTCTCAGCTCTGCAGCTAAAGCTCTTGCTGTGTCTGCTCTGATTCTCTGTACTGCTGGATCGAACTCCTGGCTCTTTCTGAATGAGAAATCTCCTCCTGTATCATTGTTCGTTCTCCCCAGCTCTGTGGTTCGTAGAATAAACTGCCTGATTCAGCCCAGCTCCAGTCCTTGATTTGCACAGCTAAGTTTGTAGATTCCTAAAAACCTTTCCTGCCTCCAGAATGGGGCTCTGACAAATCAAAAGCCCTTTGGTTTTCAGGCTCTTGTCTCTCCTTTTGGCTTTAAAATACTCGACTTTGATGTCTTTGTTTTATCCTACTGTCTCCCTGCTGAAGCGGCAACTGCCAGTGTAGTCACTGAGCACGTTGCCATAAGCAACCAGGACGCAGGGAATGAACAGTGTAGCAGTTAGTTCAAAACAGCATTCTATTACACTCATCTCAATCACTAGAGAGCCACTGTGGGTGACTCGGAGCTGTCGTCTGACTTTCACTCTTAAGAGTTATTTTGGTAATCCTCAGAAGTTGTCTCACCCTGAAGGAGGTGTGGGAGTTACTTGAACTAGAACTCTGGGTGAATTGAGTGTTGGTTCATTCATTTAGTACGTTTTATTGAGTAGATGTGAGATACTGTGTGAGACACTGCACACCCACTGATGGAAAAAATGATAGTCCCAAGCAAAAGTTGGTCACGGGGTAAGGCGTGGCATATATATGAATAGCATAGGTGTGCGAAACCTGCTGCTTTTGAATAAGCATCTGTGTCAGATCTCTCAAGATGTAAGATTAGTAAAGTCACTGGAAAGTACTTCACTTGACTGGTAGGTCTGAGTGCTGCTAAAACAGGTGAAAACAGATGGAAGTACTGCAAACACTCGGATTTCACTCGAGACAGCCAGACACAGATTTGTGACCTCATTTCTGTTTTGAGAGGCCTGTTTCCTCAATAAGAACAGTTATATTTCTAACCATATTTTTTCTTCACAGCTTTTGAAAACCTCCTCAAATAAGTTCCAATTTACATACAACAAAAACAGCCATTGTAAGGGTACGATCAGGTGAGTTTGGACACAGGTACACACCTGTGCAACCATCACCATGACAGAGAGGGAACGTTTGCGTCACCCCTCAAATACCTCAGCCCCTTTCCAGTCAGGTCCCACCCTTCCTTCCTCAGCCCTCGGCAGCATTG